GCGTGCATATGATACGAAATTTGTTGGCGTGCATATGATACGCAGTTTTCACGTACATATGATACGCATCTACCCCACAACCCTAAACCTACCCATCGCGTAGCATATACACGCCAAAGTCCATTTTGCGTATAAATACCACGAGTTTTCATTTTTATTTGGCGCACTATTTATACGCACTTTCATGAGATCAGGTTGGCTACAAACAAAAAGCTAGCTTCACTGAACCTATTTCAGGAGGCGGTATCGCTTTAAATATACGAAACTAAAGTATAAAAGCTAAACTATTGAAAAGTAGCCAGGAATCACTACTTGTAGTTAGTTAGCTAGGTTGGTATTAGCTGCAAATTAGCCAGTGGCGGCCATTTTTTCTTTGATCTTCTATGTAAACACAGTGAGGGAATTGAGCATAATTACCCGCGCTTCTCTCACAAAGGCTAATCCATCACTCAGAAACACCCAATTAGCTAATGCTATAATGATAATCAAAGGCCTTTCAATTATTAACTGCAGTAATTGCCTGTCACCGAAAGCAGAGGCTGCTGCTGCGCGCGCTTCAGCTAATTATTACTATTTACTGCTTTGAGTCAGTAATTACTCAGACCTGCGCGCGGGCCCATTACTAGCTCGCTAGTTCATATAGATGCGGATCAAATGCATTGAACCCTTGCATTTGTTAAACCCTCCTTGATAAATGACGCTTTTCCGTTCATGTCGGTCTTTAAAACTGAAGTTATTGTACAGTACAATTTGAGGAAATGTCCTCTTCAAGCTTACGAGTTCATAGTTCTTTGAGGTCACTGTAATGATATGAATCTGATTAAATGACATGCGTGTGTTTGTGTTCACGAGCCGCTGAAAGCTTTCTGAACCACAACTGTGTGTGTTTTACTTGTATGTAAAATAAACATAAATAAATACATTTGGAATACATCGATGTTAATAGTAAACATAATGTAGGCTACTCTCTCTATATAAATATACACATAACATTTAAATGAATTTAAATATTAATATACTTCTCATAACAATAAATATGTATGTAAATATGCATTTATTATTAAATATATATTTCTGGTGAATCCGTTTATTCGGATGAGTCAAGTAGGGGATTCAAAACAATGATTCGTTGATTCACAGCATTTTTAGTTTATTAATTTAATGTTATTTTATGTTTTCAACATACATATTTTGATACTTTTTTTTTTGTATGTTGTACCTTTTTATTTTAAATATTTTTTAAAAATTCATAAAAAGTACATTTTTCGTTTATTTAAATTAATAAATAATAATATACTATGCATTTATTATTACATAATTATTTAAATAATACAGTTCTAATTATTTAAATAACTATAGTAATATACGACTCATATTCCATATTTTTAAAATACATATAGTATATTTATATTTTTAAACGCATTTTGTAATATTTATCTAAATTAAATTAATTTTCCACTGTTTGACCACACGATGGCGCTCTACTCTTCAATATATGACCACTAAAAATTTTTATTTAAATAAGTGTGTAATATACTGTGTGTAAATATTTACTGTGTGTGTGTGTGAGT